CAATTGTTTCTACATAGGCGGTAATGGTAACGTTTTCTTCTGTAGCTCAGTCCATATCGTAAACTTGGATATGTATGATGGCTCGTTTCGAAGCTGAGACATTTTCACATATGTGGTTAAATTTTCGGGGTACGAAGTGTGATTCATTTTTCCGTATATTAGCATACCCCGAAAATCTTTTCGTGATGCGTCTCTTCATGGTAAAAAGTCCCTTTTTTCACGCAATAATTTCTTTTGAAAATTTAATACTTTGAATACATATTATAACTCCATAGTTTTTACACATTTATTCTATGGTCCTATACTTTCCAGATCAACACAAATGGTTAAGCTCAGTCACTTGTTAAAAATTGAAACATGTCCAATATCACTACACAGAGATTTTTGTTTACACACAACTTTTGCGTTCCTCAATTGGAGGCGCATTAGGGATATTGACCCAATTCTATGTTACGGCACAATAAAGTCTGTCTTTAATAAATTTGTACTGCCATTTTTTTTCGCCTGCGACGAAAGTCCCAGTATGAGAGACATAGGTATTACTATCTGGCGACGGCAGCGTAAACTTTTTGTATAAAGCTTAATATTTCAGAAAGTAGAAGATCTGGATGCTTCATACCTTGTATGCAAATACCTTATGTTACGAAGTTTCAGTCTGGGATACATGTATGTCCATTGCCCTTGACCTAATTTTCATGGTTCAGCAACTGTCTGAAAACAAATTTCAGGTTTTTTGTTATGTGTATTTCTCACTTATTATGAGTAGTAGGATAACTATATTTGGTATATTGGTTCTTTCAACCCCTTCATGTCAGTCAGACAGGGTTCACCTGACCTTGACCTCATTTCATGGATCAGTGATCAAGGTAAAAGTTACATGATCAGGTCCGTTTCTCAGATACTATAATCAGTAGGTCAATTATATGTGGTGTATGGAATGATTGTGAGGGGTATATGTCAGTCTGGCAGGTTTCATCTGACCTCAACCTCATTTTCATGGTTTATTAGTCAATGTTAAGTTTTTGTATTTTGATCTGTTTTTTTAAGTACTATAAGCGGTAGGTCAGCTATATTTGGTGTATGAAATGAACGTAGATGCACATATCGGTCTAGCCGGTATCATCAGAACTTGACCTCATTTTCATGGTTCATTGATCAATGATAAGTATTCTTAGTTTTGTCAGTTTATTAGATACTATAAGTATAAGCAACAGGTCAACTATTTTTGGTGTATGGAATGATTGTAAGGTGTACATGTCTGTCTGGCCAGGTTCATCTGACCAAAGACCTCTGACATTTTCATAGAACATTGATAATGTTAATTTTATGTGATACTTATAATAAAACCTTACTGTTACAGACTTTCAACATAAATTCAATGATAAGAAAAACAGGCGAGACATTTTAGCGTGTGCACTCTTGTTGTACTTGTAAATTGTGAAGTAATTGTAGGTCTCCTCATTTATGCAAGGTATAAAAAATTGACAAATAATTAGATGACCATAAGTCCAAAGGAAAGTTTCACAAAAAAAGAAATCTAACAAATTGACAAATAATTAGATGACCATTAGTCCAAAGGAAGGCGTCACAGAAAAAAAATGAAAATAGCTTTTCAACATGTTCAAGAAGTCATAATTATTTGCCCTATGACCATTTGATAATTTTGCATTGGGGAACAGAAGGAATTTTTGCAGATTGCCTAATGACTATTCATTTTCATCTGTTGCTATACGCATGTTTATTTTATTCAGTGGATACGGTATTCATTTTCAAAATTCAAATCCCCTTTCCTTTCAACTTTATAGATCTTTATACCTACATTTACTACCTCTGTACCTTTGTCTTCGGGTCAAATCCTCTTATCTCCTCTTGCCCTCTTTTTTTTTTGCTCAAGCACATATATGACATACAGCGTATATTAAGTTTAGCTTCTACCATGTCTACAGATAGGCAGACCCCTCATCTGGGAAATGTCCTACTATAGTGGAAATTGAATCTTGGTGAAAATATCCAGTGGTAGTAGGTTCCAATCTTTAATTGTATTTGGTATGAAGCAGGATTTTAATTTGTCTGGTTTTATTTGCAGTCTCAGGAAATGTTGACCATAACGCATGTTCTTGGTTGTCCTAGATGGGTTTTTTTCAGTTGATCAGATGGTAAATTGGCTTCACCGTGTATGCCATTGCATAAGAGGATATTAGCTGTTTTGGGTGCGACGATCTTTTAGGGATGGTAGTTGCAGCTGGTCTAAAAATTGCTGTCATATTGCCTGGGTCGTAATTGTTGTTTGATGTTATGAACGTTTGTGATCTTGCACGGAGCACCTCAAACAAATCGGTAAAAGAATTGCCCAAATCATATTCTACTGATGTGTTTGGCTGCGTTACCACTGTAACTATAAATAGTCCACTCATGTCTTACGTTAAGAATGCTTATCATACTAAATTTGGCAATAATATTGTGTATATTAGATCTAGATCGTTTTGATGTCAATTTCCGTGTCTGTATGGTGAAAATTTCAAACGCACAACTGATTAAAATTTTTGTTTGATAAATTTAGAGACGGACGCGCGCGGCTCCGTACTGGACGCGGGTTTTTAAAAAAAGTACTTTTTTCTGGTCGACCTTTCACAACACGCGGAGAATCCGACGAACGAGGTATAAATTTGGCGTGGCCTAAGGCTAAGGGTTAAGATATAACATGAAGCTAATGTTTTTTATATCACTAAGATAAATTTATATACTATAAAGACGTTTTGAAATAACATCGAGTTACCTTTTCATACTATTCTGTCATTTTACTTTGTCATGAAAATATCCTTTTATACTATGAAGACATCTTGATATAACATGGAGCTACCTTTTTATACTGATTTGTCATTTTACTATACTATTATATGTTATTGTTATATCATAAAGATACATTTTATACTATAAAGACATCTGAATATAACATTGAGCAACTTTTTCATACTATTCTGTCATACAACTATCTAACGACGATAAAGTCGTATACTACAAAGACATCTTGATATAATATAGAGCCACCTTTTTATACTATCTTATCACCTCACTATGCTATTCTGACAGATTACTATATATTTTTTTTTGTTATATACCTGATGTAAAATTTACATTTCTATACAAACATATTAAGAAAACACCTGATAAAAATTATTTGTTAAAAACATTGTGAAAAAATAGTTGATTCTAAATTCCATTAACATTTAAAGTCAAACATCAAAATCAATATCAAAATTTGCACTTCACCTTAACAGTCAGAGAAGTTTCTGCAAACCAAGGGAACAACAAAATATTTAAAAAGCACACATCTTATATCACAAGAGCTCAATCTAAAAATCAAACTTTTGGAAAGGTAAATTCATGTAGTAAACTGTTAAAAAAGGCCACACATTTACACCCTACATACCCTTTAGCATGAGGATACTGAAACTGAAATTATTAAATAGTTAATAGGATCAATCATATTGTATATAAAAATGTATATAAAAACAATTTTATATACAAAATTTGTAATCAGCAAGTAATCGTTTGAATGTAATCTAAAAGTAACCTAAAAGTAATCTAAAAGTAATCATGATTACACCTATTTTTTGCATTGTAATTGATTACATTACAATTACTTGTAATCAGAAAATGCATGATTACTGATTACATGCGATTACACAGCAAAATGTTTTCGATTACATCTGATTACGATTACCCCATGTCTGTTCTCAAAATATACAAATGCTATCCTTTTTTTTCTTTATAACAACATTATCTCCTTTTTAATACGCCCGTGACGTATTATAGTATACACATGTCCGTCCATTCGTCTGTCTGTCGTAAACGTCGCGTTGTTTCATGTGATTGCCTTGCTTGATTAACTTCAAACTTCACAATGATAGTCATGGTCTGTATAATTTTTGGTAAAGTTTTTTATTTTTCTTTCCAGTGAAATGGACTTTTTGCATATAAAAAGGGGGGCATTTTTCACTTGCCATATTCAACTCGAATCTATAAAATTCTGCGTAAACGAAAAAAAAAAAACTTGCGCATTTTTCATATTCCTTGGTCAGTATTACTGTAATATAAATACGTCTTTACAGTATACAGCTGATTTCTATCAAGTTTAATTTCTTTTTATACCTGTGCACTTTATTGTGGAAGCTCGTGTCATTATGAATGTTACATTTGCCATTCATTTTGAAATGAAGGTTAATTTCAGAATAACGTATTATAATGAAACATACATGTAATGTAATTATTCTAAAAATGTGCGCACGGTCAATGCTTTTACAACCCTATAGAATTACTAAAAGAAGCATTCAATTCTTTTATTTACATTTACATCATGAAAACACGATTTCTGTCAAGTTTTTCTTTTATTTACCTGTGCCCTTTATTGTGGAAGCTCGCAGTGGCGGATCCAGGGGGTGGGGTGGGTTCCCCATTTATTATAGCGATTAAGAGAAAAAGACCACCGCCGAAAACAATTTTAAAGGGCTGTATCTTTTGAGCGACTCTCTTGTAAGCGACATTTCATCAGTAATTGGGTCAATATCCCTAATGCGCCTCGAAATGAGGAACTCAAAAGTTGCGTGTAAACAAAAAATCTCTGTGTAGTGATATTGGACATGTTTCTATTTTTTACAAATGACTGAGCTTAACCATTTGTGCTGATTAAGAAAGTAGAGGAACATAGAATAAATGTGTAAAAACTATGGAGCTATTAAATGTGTTAAAAGTATTAAATTTTCAAAGAAATTATTGTGTTAAAAAAGGGATTTTTTACCACGAGGAGCCGCATCACGAAAGGATGTTCGGGGTATGCTAATTTACGGAAAAAGTAATCCCACTTCGTTCCCCGAAAATTTAACCACATATGTGAAAATGTCACAGCTTCGAAACGAGCTATCATACATATCCAAGTTTACGATATGGACTGAGCTACATTTTGTACAGGAAATAACGTTACCATTACCGGCTATGGAAAAACAATTAAAGATATTGACCCAAATTACAAGAAGAATTTCAGCAGTTTTCTGACTGATTTATGGATGATTGCACCTTGTACACCAGAGAAAATTGTGAAAATAACGGTTAGTAGTCTTTTATTTATACCTAGTTATCCCAGCTGGTTTTAGATAAACATTATCGATAAAGATCAGCAAAACTTTTCGCTTTTGAAATGCATTACTGGCACGGGGCTGAACACTTCTTTTAGGCACAATCATAACTTTGTTTACCCCGAGAGATCCGAAAGACACTTGATATTTACTTGAAAAAGGCATGAACTGCTTATCGAAACATTTCATATTATCAAATTGTAAGTAAATATGACACAATAAAGTCTTTGTTCTGTAATTATCATTCCGGTTTACAGGAATAACTGATAATCAAAGGAAATAACACACTTCATACGAGTAAAGTGAGATACATCATCACATGTGCTTTTAACCAATAATTTGACCCCTGGTCATTAGAAATTATATGCAAATAAACAGACAAACATGTATTAAGAAAATCATGAACTATTATATTTTAATGCACACTAGCAAATCACAAGATATTGTCTTTTCTCAGTGAAAAAGAGGGAGGGTCAAACCTTTTGAAAACAATAGTGCTGCACCTATTCAACTATTAAGCTACTACTCATTGCTCCTAATATAAAAGGTTTAAATGAAGGTTGATAAGCCACAAGGGAGAAGCATTTCTCTTTCTTTGTGATAAAACTTTCAAAAATTTGATTTTTTTCTCTCTCAATAATACTTGTGTATTTAAATCAAATGACAACACAGCCTGAGTAAATTTTTTGTCTTATTTCAGTTCCAGACATATCATTACTATTTAACCTGAGACGGCAAACTAGAGGTTTTAAAAAGTTCTGAATAACTGGTAAGCATTTTGTTTTATTAGGCAAGCTCTAAATTGTTTATTTATGGTATTTATGCAATTGAAATTACAGTCGGTATGTTAAAAATATGCTGATATGAAAACTGTTGCTATGGTCTTGATATTATATAAAAATGCTTAGTTACTGATCTTTTCGACTCCATTTTTCGAGTTAAACCTTGCGGCAACTGTTCCTCATGTAACACTGCAAACTATAGTTAGCATTATTTTGATCTGTCGTTATTTAATGACGCCATAAAACCTGTGATGTCACAATGTTTCCTTTAAAACCTCATGTGCATTTCTCACTGATAAAGGGTTTTCACTGAAATACATGTAAAAGACTTTTTTTTCAAATAGAATTATGTGAAAAGACAAGTTTTGAAAATTTGCACTTCATTGCACTCTAATTATATGATAAAAATGACATTCACAGTAGTTTAGAGTGGTTTCTACAGTATAAAATACCAGATTTCCACTGGTAAAAATAATTAAGTATTTTGGTGTTTTTTTATGAGATCTACATTTTTGCATAATTTCTCAGTCAAAATGCACTTTTAGGCACCAGAAAATTTTATTGAATGCTTTAACAGGGTCTGTGTATTATAATTTAAGGTTATCATCAGGTGTTTTGTCCGTGTTTTGACTAGTGAAGGTATACTGAAAGAAATAAATTATACATACACATTGTATTCAAAATAAATAGATATAGCGATAAAATTGTCATTGCCTTATAGTGCTGAAACAACTTTATTTTTTTTCAGAAATGGACAAAAATACACAGATTTATTCAGAAAGTCATACCGATGAAGATCACGCAAAAATATTTGGAAAAATTAGAACTATGGATTTCAATATGGGTCAATATCCCTAATGCGCCTCGAAATGAGGAGCTCAGAAGTTGCGTGTAAACAAAAAATCTCTGTGTAGTGATATTGGACATGTTTCTATTTTTTACAAATGACCGAGCTTAACCATTTGTTGTGAGTAGGAAAGAAGAGGAACATAGAATAAATGTGTAAAAACTATGGAGCTATTAAATGTGTTCAAAGTATTAAATTTTCAAAGAACTTATTGTGTTAAAAAGGGATTTTTTACCACGAGGAGCCGCATCACGAAAGGATGTTCGGGGTATGCTTATTTACGGAAAAAGTAATCCCACTTCGTACCCCGAAAATTTAACCACATATGTGAAAATGTCACAGCTTCGAAACGAGCTATCATACATATCCAAGTTTACGATATGGACTGAGCTACAGGAAAAAACGTTACCATTACCGCCTATGGAAAAACAATTAAAGATATTGACCCAATTACGCGTACCTTTTGAGCGACATAATTTGACTGATGAATAAAAAGGTAAATAGTGATTGAGCGACGTTGAATATCATAGGTAATGTACAAGTAAGTTTAAACAAATAAATTGATAAATTCTTAAAATTAAACATGATGAAAAATACGAAATTGAAGCCTTCCAGTTCTAGGACCGGGTAAATAATTTTTTTTCTCGTATGTATTAGTTCAACGTCAATGAAAATCAAATTGACCAATGCTATGATTATTTTGATTCCGAATTTTGAGAAAAAATAATCTCGCCAGCAAGGAAAGAAAAAAAAATATCCTGAGAGAGAATAATAACCATAATAATTAATGTTAAATTTGAGAGAAAAAAAATTGTCGCGCCGCATCCAAAAAATAAACAAAGTGCAAAAAATATTCTGACCGGGTCAAAAAAATGCCCCCCCCCCTTTTTTTGAAGTAAAATGATCGGTCCCTTAGGAAGTCGCTCAATTCGTAATATAAAATGTTGCTCAATTCATCATCGCCCCATTTTGAATGCAAATGAATTAATTAAAATAAGATTGAATTGGAGAAAATGATTTGGAGGTCGGGTGAAACACAAAACGGGAATGTTTGGGTTCTTTATTGAATTTTAAAGAACTTGCCTGAACATTAACACACGAACGACGGTTTTAAATAATGATTTTTTTTATAAGAATCATCATTTACCACAATTGATCATATTTCTTTTCAATAGACAACCATTATAGCAAGTGTACACCAACAACTAGTTAGCCCTGTATGCCATGCAGTAGTACTAGATAGATTTGCAGTGAAAAGCCCGAGACCAGCCTTGAGTGCCCCAGATGAAATTCAGTGTTTAGGTGCAGACATGCCACACAATAAGAAACAGAAACTTTCAAAGGTTACTGCAACAATCCAGGAAAATGAAAGGTACTTCGATACTAAACTAACTTTCACATGTTGATAGATATTGGGTAATACTAAAAGTTCCCTGTTGATAAGATCACTCTGACCTATATTTTACACATGACTCTTGTATAATTTTGCTTTTAATCAATATGGTAAACAGTCGGGGTATGTCGTGTCTCATAGACACACTCTCTAGTTTGATAATGTTTACCCGCTAAAAGAGGTTTTTTAGTGTAAAACTATTCTTACACTAATGACATATCCATTGTCAGAATAATGAGATGTCATATTATTGTAACGTGACCAAAAATTGTAACGTGACCGAGGGGAGGAACGACAACGACACAGACGGACGGACATAGCCATCTATGGCACGACAATGTATCCTGTGGTAAATTCCGTTAACCAAATAATACGGTATCTATTAACAAGTTTATTCACAAATGTACATTACTTCAGACTTATTGGCAAATTATTAACAACAAAGTTTAAATATATAAACTTTGAATACAAGTCCTCCAGAATCTATACTGATTCAAGACTTCAAGGAAAATCACATCCTTCCAGTATCACAGCTGATACACAATCTGCCAGTCTCTGACCAACTAACCTTTATCATAGAGTTTAATTACTTTCACTCTAGACAAAACAAATAGGCATAACTTATTTTATTACCCTACACCCCAAGACATCGCTACTTGTCTTAATTACATCTGACAGTTCAACTTTAACTGCAGATAATAAAACTAGCCATTTGTCAAATTAGCCTTGCGTCATTAATTTTCTCTGTACACAAATAAACAGTTATAAAGCCAATTTAACCAGAGGTCAATATTTACAAAACATTAAAATATTACATTGCCTCCCTCTTTGAAAAACATGTGTCCCACATGTAAAAAAAAAAAAAACCAACTTTAACTTATTAAAGTATGGAAGACCACTTTCAAAAATAAAACAAAAATACGCAATAAAATTTAAATGGAAAAATCAAAATGTATCAAAAATCAATTTCAACATTTTAACAATAAAATAAATCAAATAATTCAATCATAATCATGAAAACATGCAATGTTCATTTCAATGTTCATTTTAAATGTTCATAGTTTATAAAGTTCAATAAAAGTTTTAATCAGGAACGAATCTGATGGGTGGACGTTTCACACGATGTCCGCGACCTTATTCAATATTGTCAGTTGGAAAATTAGACATATCGCACTGTTCATTTTCACTCACTTCAATGTCAGAGTGACAGACTCAATGTTATTTTCTTCGATTGCGGTAGCATGAGACTTGGTGTCTTTTTGAATTACAGTTTTAATTAGCCAATTGTCAAAATCTCCATGATACGGTTTTAGTCTGTTGTAATGAACAACTCTTGGTTTTGACGATTCTAACTTTTGAATGCGGTATACTAAGTCACTAATACTGTTTATAATAAGATAAGGTCCATCCCAATTACACTGTAGTTTTGGACTAATCCCAACTTTTCTCTTTGGATCATGTAACCATACGGCATCTCCAACAGAATACGGTTTAAAATTAACTTTATAGTCATAATACCATTTCTGTTTATCACTGGCATTATTAATGTTTTCTCGAGCAAATTCATGTACATTGTCTAAATATGTTCTTATTTGCATCACATAATCCGGGAGATTATCAAAATTCTCACTATTACTAACAGTTCCGTATAACACGTCAATCGGATGTCTTACATCACGCCCGAATAACATCACATTCGGTGAGTATTTTGTCGTGTCATGTTCCGCGCTACGATATGCCATCATCTGTAATGGAAGAAGAACATCCCAGTTCTTCTGATCTTTATTCACGCATGTAGCTAGCATTGCTTCCATTGTTGAGTTGTAACGCTCAACCATCCCATCAGATTGTGGATGAAGTGCAGTGGTTCTCGTTTTACCCACTCCTAAGAGTTTACAGAGTTCACGGAAAAGTCTTGATTCAAAGTTCGTACCTTGATCCGTATGAATCTGCATTGGCACACCATAATGCGTCACAAATTGTTCAACAAACACTTGCGCTATAGTTTCTGCTTCCTGGTCGGGTAATGCGTATGCCTCTACCCATTTCGAAAAATAGTCCTGGATAACTAGAACGTACCTGTTATTACGTTCAGAGAGCGGTAATGGTCCCATTATGTCCATAGCAACTCTTTCCATAACAGCTCCTACGTGATATGTTTTCATTGGCGCCCTAAATGTTTTTGGAGGTCTTTTTCGTGAACCACATTGATGACATCGACGGCACCATTCTTTGACATTTTCCCCAACGCCTGGCCAATAAAATCGTTCTCTAATTCGACCTAAAGTTTTGTTAACTCCCAAATGTCCAGCTGTTACGGCATCATGCAGGTTTGTTAGAATGTCCGTTTTAAAGCTATCTGGAACCACTAGCTGCCATGAAATTTTTTTCCTGTGTCGTCTTCCCATCTCCTGTATAAGATGTCGTTTCGTATTTCAAGTCGTTTCCATTGTGACCACAATGCCTTCACAACAACGCTTTCCGAGCAGATTTCATGCCAAGTAGGTTTATGATCACTATTCTCCATCAAATTGATAATCAATGCTAAATTTTTATCCTCCCGTTGAGCACATTTTAATTCACTATCAGATAAACCATTAATCCAACTATTTGAATTTGACACTTTAGATTTATTATCGCTAATAACATTACACTGTGTGCTAGATACACCATATTTCAATTCTACTTTTTCACAGTGTGAACAATCTAAACACGGCCTTCTCGATAAACTATCCGCATTTGAATGTTTTAATCCAGGCCTATGCACAATTTCATAGTCGTAAGTTCCTAATACTTCTAACCATCGCGCCAATTGCCCCTCTATATCCTTAAATTTAGTAATCCAGCGCAATGAACTATGATCTGTTCGAACAGTAAATTTTCTTCCATAAAGATAGCAATGAAAGTGTTTGATGCTGCTAATCACCGCTAAAAGTTCCTTTCTTGTAGTACAGTAATTAATTTCGGATTTAGATAACGCTCGACTGTAATACGCAATCACCTTTTCATGACCATTTTGAACTTGCGAAATCACTGCACCTAGCGCAGAATTACTACAGTCAGTGTCAAGTATAAACTCCAAACCAGACGGATCCGGATACGCTAAAATCGGCGGACTAGAAAGTTTTGATTTCATAATGTTGAATGTTTCTTCGCATAGATCTGTCCATTCAAACAATGTCTGCTTTTCAGTAAGCTTATTCAATGGTCGTGCATATTTTGCAAAATCAAAGATAAATCGTCGATAATACGAGCATATTCCAAGAAAGGCCCGTACTTCTTTTACTGTTGTCGGTCTAGGCCAATTACTGATGGCCTCAATCTTTGACGGATCAGCGCGAACACCATCTTTAGAAACAACATGTCCCAAGTAGTTAACACTCTTTTGAAACAACGTACATTTCTTCGGATTGAGTTTTAACCCTGACATACGCAAACGGTCAAACACTTCTTGTAGTCTCTGTAGTGAAGATTCAAATTCCGTTCCGAAGACAATAATATCATCTAAATATACCAAGCAAGTTTTCCATGAAAGGCCTTTTAAAACTTTGTTCATTAGTCTCTCAAACGTTGCAGGTGCGTTACAAAGACCCATTGGCATTACTTTGAATTGGTATAGTCCA